TCCAGGCCCCCAAATACAACCACTTAACACTGAAAAAATTCTGTGGAAAATGTAAAAAATACGGTACTCTATCTTACCTTAGTATTATTCAGCGTGCAGGTACCCCTAAACACTGGCACATCACTATCACTTCCACTGGGAGTCTTGGCTTTAAGGTCCTCAAACAATTGTCTGGCCTTCTCACAAATTATAGTTTCACTAATGTTACCACCTGCCATTTCTTTCTCCTTTATCCACACTAAGAGTAAATTTTCCATCTCTTCAATCACATTACACCTTACTTTGCTAAGTCTAAAGATTCCCTTAGCCACTTGCACAGTTTTTAACTCCTCTTTATTCTTCAAAATTGTACATATAGTCGATTTAGCCATCCCATATTCATCACTAAGTTTCGCAATGCTCCTTCCATTCTCACGTTTCTTTATAATTTCTTTCTTAGTTTCAAGGGTTATTAGCTTTCTCACTCGCTTTGGACGACTCATTGTTACAATTGTATACTTGTATAACAAAATAGTTATACAAATAACGCGAATTTCCACATCAAAAGACGAAATTTCAACAATAACAGTGGTGCACTGGCTACACAATGAGACAAAGATGGCGCCTGACGCTCTTGTTGTGGGTCGCGGTACAACAATATTCATGCGCCAGGCGAAATAGTCCGGTATTCATCCGCGTTCGTTGTAGGAGTTGCGTTCGTTATAGCATTCTCAATTTTATAGGTAAAACCGTTCGTTATAGGAATATTAGTAGTAGGATCCATTCGTTATAGCATACCCCACTGTGTATATATATATATATATATATATATATATATATATATATATATATATATATATATATATATATATATATATATATATTTATACTGTATATACTGTATATATATGTCTTGAATAAAATATTAAAAGCTAAAGTGGCAATCTCGTTGTTTCCATTTTTCCGTGATTTTATCAAAATATATATATATATATATATATATATATATATATATATATATATATATATATATATATATATATATATATATATATATATATATATATATATATATATATATATATATATATAACAGTGGGTATGCTATAACCTAACGGATCCTACTACTAATATTCCTATAACTAATCTATTTACCTATAAAATGAGAATGCTATAATCTAACTAAACTCCTACAATGTATATTATTTATTTATTTATTTATTTTTTATTTTTTTTTTTTTACTAATTTATTGTTTTTTTATTACAAGTATTAATGATACTCATTATTTCAGGGTTTAGATGCATATTTATGCACTTTTTTACAATTTTATATTATATTTTTCAGTGTTATGGTTGTATTTGGGGTTGAAGGATTAATCCTATAACCTAACTAATGCTATAACGAAAGGTTCTGGAATTGTCAGATGTTATAGCATACCCTATATATATATATATATATATATATATATATATATATATATATATATATATATATATATATATATATAATATATATATTATATATATATATATTTACAGTGGGTATGCTATAACGAATCTGATCCTACTACGTAATATTCCTATAACAAACGGTTTTACCTATAAAATTGAGAATGCTATAACTTAACATTATTTAAATTTTTTTTCCCTTAATTTATTGATTTTATTACATTTATTAATGATATTCTTATTTCAGGGTTTAGATGCATATATGCACTTTTTACAATTTTTACAATTTTATATTATATTTTTCAGTGTTAAGGGTTGTATTTGGCCTGGAACTAACCCATCCTATATCTAATCTAATGCTATATAAGCAAGGTTCTAGAACCAATTAGATTCGTTATAGCATACCCCACTGTGTGTGTGTGTGTTATATATATATATATATATATATATATATATATATATATATATATATATATATATATATATATATATATATATATATATATATATATATATATATATATATATATATATATATATATATATATATATATATATATATATATATATAATATATATATATATATATATATATATATATATATATATATATATATATATATATATATATATATATATATATACAACAAAATATATGTAAAAAAAATAAATGTTAAATGAATTATTTATGTGCATTAGTACTGGTCACTTCAGACACAAAGACGGGCTATAAATAGCCTTCTTTATCTCCCTCCATCTCACCCTGAGCCAGAGGGAAGGGTCTTGGTAAATAACATTTGTTTGCTTATTTTCCATTTACTTGAAATAGATTTACCGAATTATTTGTTTATTTATTTAAAAGCCATTTACTGAATGTTCTATGTAAAAAATAAATTTTAAATTAATTATTTATAGGTGATAAGTATTATGATCAGTAAATATATGGTATTACTGGCCACTTCAGACACAAAGACGGGATAGAAATAGCCCATTCTTGCAGCTGCCAATGGGAAGCATCTGGTAATTAAATTTGATGTTTATTTTCATTGTTTGTCTAATTTATCATGTATCAAAGTAATATTACTAAAATTGTGTAGGTAGTAGGCAGCTACCAAACAGGTAGATACTACCGCCTGGGAAGATATTGGAAGCATAATGTGTTGTCTAATGGTAGACCCTGCTGCCATATGGCATCCTGAAAATGTGACCAAGTCCCAGGTTCAGCACTGACCTGACTTTCTGCCTCATTTACACACAATTGCAGTTCATTTGTTCCTCTAACTTTGACAACACAACATACATACAGTATATTATTTTCACTTTTGATCTTTTTTTCTTTTTGTATTTATTTATGGTTAGTTACTTAAAATGGCCAATTCACTAGTAATGGCATCAAATGTTACCAGCTGGTGTAGTGTAAACACTAGTGACGTCACTTAAGCGTCTGTATTTAACTCTCGGTAGTTTCAAGAATTAATGCAGTCATTTACTGAATATTCCTTGTAAAAAAAATTTAAATTAATTATTTATGGAGATAAGTATTATCAGTAAATATACTGATATGCATTTCTGACCACCTCCACGGCTAAAATAGCCCAATCTCATGGTCACTTTCCTTTCTTGTTTCCTCACTGGCAAATGGGGTGGGGGGGCATGGGAGGGGTGTGTGATGATAGCTGTGTTTATTACAGGGTATAATGTTCTTTACGGTATGTTAGACAGGTTTATAATACATTTTATTATTTTAATATACCGGTAGGACCTTTGGAGTGGCTTCGATGTTTCCATCACCACTCTTGACACTAAACCACAATATTTAGAGGTAAGAATTTTATACTTGGTGATTAAGACACCCCTAACTTTGGGCAGATTTTTTAATGTTCAAATTCCGTCTTATAAGCCGAGTATCAGTATTTATCAGTTCTTAGGTGACTTAGCTTCTCTCTTATAAAAGCCAGTGAAATGACCTGGGTGAATATAATTAACATAGCTGGGATTCTTGTAACACTGATTAATTTGAATATAAACATGCTATAATTTGCACTAGACAAAACAATTTTAGTACCGTAATCAAATTAGTACATGTGTACTCCAGGTTTGCACTAAGAAATCTATGTAAATCTACAAAAATACAGTTGAAAAACTTTTTATAAAATGTACTACAGTACTGTACATTGGGAGTGACAGTTTTGCAAAAGTTTTCAAAATCAAGTGGCTTGGGTTGGATTATTTGTCTATCGGCCACGCTGGTTCCGAATATGTTTGAGTTTTTTACATCATTGCATTAGAAGGTTTGTGGATACTTTTGGGTTTGGCATGAAAAACGCGAAAAAACTGTAAATAATAAAGGGACTGGCAATGTGGCACAACCTGTTAAAATCAAGTTATTGAATTGGATTATTCGACTACTGTGTACACTGGTTCATAATATGCTATTGTTTTACAACTCAATGCGCTACAAATTATGCCGATATTTTTGCTGCAAGTCACCACATACGTATATTTCGAAAACCAGGGCCCAATATTACCAACGGCGTGGATAGATTCCGTGGGATGAATTCAGGACATTCCCGCTCATGGAACATTACCAAACTCCGTATATGTGCCAATGGCAGGCCAATGGCAATATTTACAGAGTTTGTTGAGGCTCCCTGGACGGGAATCCCCTGAACTTTTCTTTTTTCTGTTCTCGTGACCTCTTCCTGACTCTCTCCACTTTCTTCCAGTTAGTCACTTTAGACTTGTCCCCTTCAGTTATGATGTTGTCTGCAGCTCTGATGGTGTTTGCGATGTGGGCCACTGCATCATTGGATACCTTGAACCTGTCAGCAGTTTCTCCGATCCTGTCCTCGGCTTCTTTCTCCCTTTTCCTTTTCTCTGATCTTGCTCTCTTGTCGACCATAGCCTTGAACTCATTGTCATTGACATCCTTATAATCACTATCTTCTTCCTGAGCACTGTCATCCACTGCCGACACTTTACACGACATCCTCTCCATTTCCTCCTTACTCTTTGACCTCATCTTCTCAGTTTTCCTCTCTTCCTTAGCCCTTTTCTTTGCCCTCTTCACTTCCTTCTCCCTCTCTTCTTTCAGCTTGGCAGTCACAATTTTGTCAACGCCATCAATGCAGCCCTCCCTTCCCGGTTTCCTCTGGGCTGCCAGGAAGCTTTTCTCTCGTTCGTGCACTTTGCTGTCGTCTGCCACATCAAACAACTTCTCAGCTATATCCTCGAACCTCATCTTCAGCTTCCCGTTCTTCGTTTTCTTCCTTTTCTGTTTCTGTCCATTTCCCTTCATCATCATCGTCTCCCTCCGCATCCTCCACAGGTCGTGGACTCTCATTTTCACCCTGATTTCAGAGATAGTGGGGACAGTGGCCTTCCTATACACATCCAGTACCTTCTCAGTCACCTTGTTGGTGGCATCCATATAATCAAAAGCATTTGTTCTTCTCCTTAACCTCTCGTTTTCTGCTTCATAAGCCAGGGCACTTCCAACTTCCTTGTTCAGAGGCAACTTGTTAGATGGCAGAGGCATCCGAACCCGAACACCTTATCGTTACCCTGGCGCAGCTGAGTGTTGCTAATCTTAGGACGACCCATCTTGGTGGCGGCCCTTTGAACTAACTGCAAAACAACACAGAAAAAACAACTTTCAGCACTTCAATATCACCACCTATTGAACAATATTTTATTCAAAAGTACGGACTGAGATTTTGTCCTTAACTGTCCAAGTCAAGCTACTTGGGCTGAATTCGTTGATCAGTCCTGGGACGAATATTACCAACGGCGTGAATAGATTCCGTGGAATAAATTCAGGGCATTCCCGTCCAGGGAGCCTCAACAAACTCTGTAAATATTGCCATTGGCCTGCCATTGGCACATATACGGAGTTTGGTAATGTTCCATGAGCGGGAATGTCCTGAATTCATTCCACGGAATCTATCCACGCCGTTGGTAATATTGGGCCCTGGTTTTCGAAATATACGTATGTGGTGACTTGCAGCAAAAATATCGGCATAATTTGTAGCGCATTGAGTTGTAAAACAATAGCATATTATGAACCAGTGTACACAGTAGTCGAATAATCCAATTCAATAACTTGATTTTAACAGGTTGTGCCACATTGCCAGTCCCTTTATTATTTACAGTTTTTTCGCGTTTTTCATGCCAAACCCAAAAGTATCCACAAACCTTCTAATGCAATGATGTAAAAAACTCAAACATATTCGGAACCAGCGTGGCCGATAGACAAATAATCCAACCCAAGCCACTTGATTTTGAAAACTTTTGCAAAACTGTCACTCCCTACTGTACACTAATGTACAACAATTTTTATCTCTTGAGCAAAATATATGACGTTTATATTCAAATTATTGGTTGTCTTGCAAGGATTCCAGCAATGCAAATTACAATCTCCTAACTTTAGTCTGCGATATTAGATAAGATAAAAGCTGTAAGCCTAAAAGCCTGGCTGGGGGGGGGACTGACGGCTCCGCCACCCAGCGAGGGGTTGGGGGGGGTTGAGGTGATAAGTTTGGGGTGAAGGTTTCTGTGTGTTTATTTAACAGTCCTACTAAGCTTCTCTCATTTTAAAATGCCAGTGATATGACCTAGGAAAATATAATTAAAATAGATGGGATTCTTGTAAGATACTGATTTATTTGAATATAAACATGTTGTAATTCGCACTAGACATAACAATTTTAGTACCGTACGCTGCTGTCGCTGACACTGTAAGACTGCTTAGAATGTCTGTAACGTGACAACGTCGTAAGTGAACTGAACTCAGAACTGCAGAATTACACAATGCTGCTCAGCTGCTGCAGCTCGGCGTCGACAAATCATGTCTTGTCACGTTTACATGTACTAACACGCAGTCAGCCAAGCCTGACTGACTGGCTGTTGGAGACACGCGTCGCGGCGTCACACGCTTACAACAGACAGGAACAAACATGTATAAATTTTGTTAGCAGACTTAAAGTTAGCGCAACTAAATTTAGCGGAAGCTAATTGGTCCACTAATGGTTTCCAAAGTTAGCGAAAACACTAATCCGCTAACGAGAAAGTTAGCTTCGCTAATTAGCGGAACCCTGCCCACGACTGGACTCTGAGATACTACTCTTTAATGTACAACCATACAGTAAACCCCCGATGTAACAGTGAGTGTTGGTGATGATGGTGAGTGTTGGTGGTGGTGATGGTGAGTGTTGGTGGGTGATGGTGAGTGTTGGTGGTGGTGATGAGTGGTGGTGTTGAGTGGTGGTGGGTGATGGTGAGTGTTGGTGGTGGTGATGGTGAGTGTTGGTGGTGGTGGTGGTGAGTGGTGGTGGGTGGTGGTGGGTGGTGGTGAGTGGTGGTGGGTGTTGGTGGTGGTGGGTGTTGGTGGTGGTGGGTGTGTGAGTGTTGGTGGTGGTGGTGGTGGGTGTTGGTGGCAGTGTTGGTGGTGGTGGTGATGGTGGTGGTGGATGGGTGTTGGTGGGTGATGGTGAGTGTTGGTGGTGGTGGGTGTTGGTGGTGGTGTTGGTGGTGGTGATGGTGGTGGTGGAGATGGTGGTGGTGGTGATGAGTGTTGGTGGTGATGATGAGTTTATGATGAGTGTTGATGGTGAGTGTTGGTGGTGAGTGTTGGTGGTGATGGTGAATGTTGGTGGTGAGTGTTGGTGGTGAGTGTTGGCAAGTGGTGGTGATGGTGAGTGTTGGTAAGTGGTGGTGATGGTGAGTGGCGGTTCGTGTTGGTGGGGTTCGTGTTGGTGGTTCGTGTTGGTGGCGGTTCGTGTTGGTGGCGGTTCGTGTTGGTGGCGGTTCGTGTTGGTGGTGGCGGTTCGTGTTGGTGGTGGTGGTTCGTGTTGGTGGTGGTGGTTCGTGTTGGTGGTGGTGGTTCGTGTTGGTGGTGGTGGTTCGTGTTGGTGGTGGTGGTTCGTGTTGGTGGTGGTGGTTCGTGTTGGTGGTGGTGGTTCGTGGTGGTGGTTCGTGTTGGTGGTGGTGGTCTGTGTTGGTGGTGGTGGTTCGTGTTGGTGGTGGTGGTTCGTGGTGGTGGTTCGTGTTGGTGGTGGTGGTTCGTGTTGGTGGTGGTGGTTCGTGTTGGTGGTGGTGGTTCGTGTTGGTGGTGTGGTTCGTGTTGGTGGTGGTGGTCTGTGCTGGTGGTGGTGGTTCGTGTTGGTGGTGGTGGTTCGTGCTGGTGGTGGTGGTCGTGTTGGTGGTGGTGGTCGTGCTGGTGGTGGTGGTTCGTGTTGGTGGTGGTGGTCTGTGCTGGTGGTGGTGGTTCGTGCTGGTGGTGGTGGTCGTGTTGGTGGTGGTGGTTCGTTGGTGGTGGTGGTCTGTGCTGGTGGTGGTTCGTTGGTGGTGGTGGTTTGTGCTGGTGGTGGTGGTTCAGTGGTGGTGTGGTGGTTCGTGTTGGTGGTGGTGTTGTGTTGGTGGTGGTTTCGTGTTGGTGGTGGTTCGTGTTGGTGGTGGTTCGTGTTGGTGGTGGGTCTGTGTTGGTGGTGGTCTGTGCTGGGTCGTCTGTGTTGGTGGTGAGTGTTGGGGGTAGTGGTGAGTGTTGGGGTAGTGGTGAGTGTTGGGGATAGTGGTGAGTGTTGGGGATGGGTGGTGAGTGTTGGTGGCAGAGTGTTGGTGGCGGTGAGTGTTGGTGGCGGTGAGTGTTGGTGGCGGTGAGGTTAGTGGTGGTGAGTGTTGGGGTGTGTGAGTGTTGGGGGTGGTGAGTGTTGGGGGTAGTGGTGGAGTGTTGGGGTAGTGGTGAGTGTTGGGGGTAGTGGTGAGTGTTGGGGGTAGGTGGTGAGTGTTGGGGTGTGTGGAGTGTTGGGGTGGTGGTGGAGGTTGGGGGGTGGTGGTGAGTGTTGGTGGCGGTGAGGGTGGTGGTGAGCAGGGGTGAGTGTTGGGGTAGTGGTGAGTGTTGGGGGCAGGTGAGTGTTGGGGGGGTGGGGGGAGTGTGGTGGTGGAGGTTGGGGTAGGGGAGTGGGGGGAGTGGGTGAGTGTTGGGGTGGAGGTGGTAGTGGGAGTGTTGGGGGCAGGTGAGTGTTGGGGGTGGTGGTGAGTGTTGGTGGCGGTGAGTGTTGGTGGCAGTGGAGGAGGAGTGGTGGTGGTGAGTGTTGGGGCAGGGTGAGTGTTGGGGTAGTGGTGAGTGTTGGGGGTAGTGGTGAGTGTTGGGGGTAGTGGTGAGGTGGTGGTGGAGGTGGTGGTGAGTGTTGGGGGGTAGTGGTGAGGTTGGGGGTAGTGGTGAGGTTGGGGGTGTGGTGAGGTTGGGGGCAGTGGTGAGTGTTGGGGGTAGTGGTGTGAGGTTGGGGGTAGTGGTGAGGTTAGTGGTGAGGTTGGTAGTGGTGAGTGTTGGTGGCGGTGAGGTGGCGGTGAGGTTGGGGGTGGTGGTGAGTGTTGGTGGCGAGGAGTGTTGGGGAGTGTGTAGTGGTGAGGCTGGGGGGTGGGTGAGTGGTGGCGAGTGTTGGGGGGCAGGAGGTTGGGGTAGTGAGTGCTGGTGGTGGTGGTGAGTGTTGGGGGTAGTGGTGAGTGTTGGGGGTAGTGGTGAGTGTTGGGGTGTGGTGAGGTGGGGGTGAGTGGTTGGTGGTGGTGAGTGTTGGTGGCGGTGAGTGTTGGTGGCGGTGAGTGCTGGTGTGGGAGTGTGGTAGTGGTGAGTGTTGGGGGTAGTGGTGAGGCTGGTGGTGGTGGGAGGCAGGCGGTGAGTGTGGTGGTGGAGTGTTGGGGGTAGTGGTGGGAGTTGGGGTAGTGGTGAGTGTTGGTGGTGGTGAGTGTTGGTGGCGGAGTGTTGTTGGTGGTGGTGGGAGGTTGGGGGTGGTGAGTGTTGGTGGCAGGAGTGTTGGTAGTGGAGGTTAGGTAGTGGTGAGGTTGGGGGTAGTGGTGAGTGTTGGGGGTAGTGGTGAGTGTTGTGAGTGGTGAGCTGGGGGTAGTGGTGAGTGTTGGGGGTAGTGGTGAGGTTGGGGGTAGTGGTGAGTGTTGGGGGTAGTGGAGTGTTGGGGGGTAGTGGTGAGTGTTGGGTAGTGGTGAGTGTTGGGGTAGTGGTGAGTGTTGGTGGTGGTGAGTGTTGGGGGTAGTGGTGAGTGTTGGTGGTGAGTGTCGGGGTAGTGGTGAGGTTGGGGTAGTGGTGAGTGTTGGGGGTAGTGGTGAGTGTTGGGGTAGTGGTGAGGTTAAGTGGTGAGGTTGGGGGTAGTGGTGAGTGTTGTAGTGGGTGAGTGCTGGTGGTGAGGTTGGTGGTGTGAGTGTTGGGGGTAGTGGTGAGTGTTGGGGGTAGGTGTGGTGGAGTGTTGGGGTAGTGGTGAGTGTTGGTGGTGGTAGGTGGTGGTGGTGAGTGTTGGTGGTGGTGAGTGTTGGGGGTAGTGGTGAGTGTTGGTGGCGGAGTGTTGGTGGTGAGTGTTGGTGGTGGAGTGTTGTGAGTGTTGGTGGCGGTGAGTGTTGGGGGGTGGTGAGTGTTGGTGGTGGGAGTGTTGGTGGAGTGTTGGTGGTGGTGAGGTTGGTGTGGTGGTGAGTGTTGGTGGTAGTGGTGAGTGTTGGGGTAGGAGTGTTGGTGGCGGTGAGTGTTGGTGGTGTGAGGTTGGTGGTGGTGGAGTGATGTGGGGGTAGGGGAGTGTTGGGTGGTGGTGAGTTGGTGGTGGTGAGGTTGGTGGCGAGGAGTGTTG